CCCCAGCACTGCCCATCCCTGCACACAAAGCCCCCCCCAGCACTGCCCCTCTCTGCACACAAATCCCCCCCAGCACTGCCCCTCTCTGCACACAGATCCCCCCAGCACTGCCCATCCCTGTACCCGAAGACCCCCCCAGCACTGCCATCCCTGCACACAAAGCCCCCCCAGCAGTGCCCATCCCTGCACACAGACCCCCCAACACCGCCCCTCCCTGCACACAAGGGCCGCCTCTGCAGACAGCCCTGGGTGGGATGTCTGGGTGGGAGACCCAGGCCCAGCCATTCCCACCCCTGGCGCCAGGCTTCTGGGAGCAGTGGGAGCTGTGCCTGACCCCTCCTGACTCAGCCCCCCCAGGCCCCTCTGGGGACAGTCCCAAGACCCAGAATCCCAGCTCGTTAAAAATGTGGGCTCACACCCCACCCAGGACACGCTGTCCACCAAGTGCCCCCACTGAGAATTGGAGGATCTCAGGTTTGGGGACCACCCATCTCGGTCACCTTCACGAGTGGGGAAACAGGCCTGAGTTGCCCGAACAGCACGTGCGGGCCTGTGCTTTCTCCCAGCATCCTGTCCACTCTTCTCCAGATCCTTCTGGAGCCTCCCTCCCCCGTGTAGTTGAGGTGTGGGAGTTGGTGAAACTTGCAGAAGATAAAGTTGGGGACTGTGCCAAGGTCCCCGCTGAGCCGAATCTGGCACACCCACACTCTGTCCTGCAGCGCCATCTGCTGGCCGGTTCTGGTACTGTTGTGGCGTCTCGCCCTATCCTGCCATGCCTGGAAACTTACAGGGGGTCAAGTGCTTGGCTTCGACTGTCTTCTTCTGCCCCCGGGGGCATTGATGGGACGTCCTATAAAGGAAAAACTGACTGGTCCAGGTGTCCAGGTTCATTATTTTGCCTGAGGTCTGGCCATCCCGGTGGCACAGGAGTTCACCAGGCCATGCAGGTGGAGGTTGGCTCTCGCCAGGTCAGAACCCTGACCGCCGTGGCCTTCCAGGGGCGTGGTGGTGGCCAGCCCCTTGAGGACCATGTGGATGTTTTTTTTTTTTTTATTTCCCTGGAGGACACAAGGTGTCAAGTGAGATGGAAGCTGGTGACTGCGGGGCACCCGTGAGGACTTAGTCATGGCACTGATGCTTTGCCAGGCTGTGTTTTTTATTTTTTTAATATTTATTTATTTATTTGAAAATCAGAGTTACAGAGGTGGGGAGGGGAGAGCGAGCATGTGGGCTTCCATCTGCTGGTTCACTCCCCAAATGGCTGCATCAGCTGGGTCAGGTTGAAGCCAGCAGCCGGGCGCTTCTTCAGGGTCTCCCAAGTAGGTGACAGGGGCCCAGGGACTTGGGCCATCTTCTTCTGTTTTCCCAGGAGCACTGGCAGGGCGTTGGATCGGAAGTGGAGCAGCTGGGACACAAACAGGAGCCCACGTGGGAATGGGATGCCAGTGTCGCGGGCAGCGGCTTAAGCCATCACGCCACAGTGCCAGCCCCACCTCGTCTCTCTTTCTTAGATGAAAAAATCTAGGCAGAGATAAGAAGGAACTTGCTCAGGAACTGGTGTTTTTATTTTTAATATTTATTTATTATTTATTTGAAACAGTTACACAGAAGGAGAGGCAGAGAGAGAGGTCTTCCATCCGCTGGTTCACTCCCCAGTTGGCTGCAACCATCCAGAGCTGAGCCGATCTGAAGCCAGGAGCCAGGAGCTTCTTCCGGGTCTCCCACATGGGTGCAGGGGCCCAAGGACTTGGGCCATCTTCTACTACTTTCCCAGGCCACAGCAGAGAGCCGGATCAGAAGTGGAGCAGCCAGGACTCGAACCGGTGCCCATATGGGGTTCCGGCACTGCAGGCGGCAGCTTTACTGCTACGCCACATGCTGGCCCTGGCTGGTGTGGTCTTGCAGCAGGTTAAGCCCCTGCTCAGGATGCCCGTGTCCTGTGTCAGAGTGCCCGTTCTCCCGGCTGTTTGAACTTCTGATCCAGCTTCCTGAGAGGCAGTGTATGGTGGCCCAGTCTTTCCCCTTCTGTCACTCTGCCTAATTTTTTTAAAGTGACTTGCTCAGAGCTACGTAGGATGGGGGGTTGGCGTTGTGGTGCAGTGAGCTGAGTGGCTGCCTGCCGTGCCAGCGTCGCCCCCTGTGCCAGAACATGGGGTTCAAGTCCTGGCTCTCTGCATCCAACCCAGCTCCTTACTAATGCGCCTGGGGTGGCGACAGAGGACAGCCAAAGTGCTTGGGCCCTTGCCACCCACGTGGGAGACCTGGATGGAGCTCCAAGCTTCTGGCTTCAGCCTGGACCAGCCTGAGCCATTATGGCCATTTGGGGAGTGAACCAGCAGAAGAAAGATCTCTCTGTGTCTCATTCTGCCTTTCACATCAATAACGCTTTATATTAAAGAAGCTACCTGGGATGGTAGAAATGGAATGTGCTTTCTGTGCTAGGCTCACCGAACGCCTCACTTCATCTTCCCGATGGCCGCCTGGTGCAGGTGCCATTAACGGCCCCATCCGCGAGCTTCAGAGAGAAGTGGAGCGAGCAGGGTTCTGTTGGGTTAGTGAGCGGCAGAGCTGGGTTTCCAACCCAGGCGTCAGATGCCAGAAGCCACGCTCTGACGTCCCCACCCCCCACCATGCCCCCGGGCCTGCCGCCCCTCGCCTGCCCCTCACCGCCCCCTGTGCTTGCCTCCAGGGCTCCGAGGCCACGGGCACGATGCTCAGGGTCCTGGTGGGGGCCGTCCTCCCTGCCATGCTGCTGGCTGCCCCCCCGCCCATTAACAAGCTGGCGCTGTTCCCGGACAAGAGCGCCTGGTGCGAGGCCAAGAACATCACCCAGATTGTGGGCCACAGCGGCTGCGAGGCCAAGTCTATCCAGAACAGGTGGGAGCTGGGGGCCCTGGGGGCGAGGGGAGGAGGACCAGGGCGCGCCCTGCCTCTCTGTGACACTGGTGCCGTGCCATCTCCTCCCGCAGGGCCTGCCTGGGACAGTGCTTCAGCTACAGCGTCCCCAACACCTTCCCGCAGTCCACAGAGTCCCTGGTGCACTGCGACTCCTGCATGCCTGCCCAGTCCATGTGGGAGATTGTGAGTACTGCTGCCCCCCCCCCCCGCGCGAGCAGGGCACAGGGCTTGTCCTGGGGAGGTGGACAGGGTTGCCCTGGGTCCCACCCCAGCTTGCTCAGGGCACAGGGCTTGTCCTGGGGAGGCGGACAGGGTTGCCCTGGGTCCCACCCCAGCTTGCTCAGGGCACAGGGCTTGTCCTGGGGAGGCGGACAGGGTTGCCCTGGGTCCCACCCCAGCTTGCTCAGGACACAGGATCTGCCTGAGCTCTGCCCCAGTGCCACTCCTGTGTTCTCAGTGTCCCCATGGTCAGAGGCCAGGAGCAAGCCTTGGCCTTGCCCGGTGCTGCCCGCCGTCCAGCGTGGTCTTTACTGCTGCCCCCACCCTCCCTCTGAGCCTGGCACCCGGCACCAGCTCGCCTGTCACCTGCTCTGCTCGGGGCCCTTCCCTACTGGGCAAATCTGGTCAAGTTCTGTTCATTCTTCTGCCCTTGGCTTAAGCACTGCACTCTGGGGCCCCTCCCTGGACACCCCCACCCCGACCCTGCGTGCGGTTGGCTCTCGGAGCCCCGAGGGCCTCCCTGGAGCAGGTGGCGCAGCCCCAGGCTTGCACCTGCACCTGGTGGGCTCTGCAGCTCTGTGTGCCCCACCAGACCCTGCATCCCCTGAGGGCGTCTGCGTGTCCCCAGAGCCTGCGTGGAGCAGGTATTCTGGGGCAGGAAGGGGGAAAGGCGGCCAGACAGACAGCAGGCTCATCAGAAGGGCCAGGGCAGGAGGCCCACGGGTCTCCTGCGGGGTGAACCCCAGTAGGCTGGGGCCTTGGCCTGGGTCCCCTTTGAGGAAGGAAGTGGTGTCTGGGCAGGGCCCAGGCTGAGAGAATCAGTAGGCAGAGCTGGGAGGGCGGGGCCGGAGGTGGTGGTGGAGCGAGCAGCCGGCTCAGCCCGGAGCCCCTCCCTTTCCTGGGGGCCCTGTGGCTGCTGTGGGGGGGTGGACAGGGAGGGAGCAGGGCCGGGAGTGAGGAGACAAGTCCTGTGGTCCCTGCAGCGGGCTCAGACCCCTCCCGGATGCCCCCCGCCCCGAGCTGCCTCAGGTGTCTGGCCCCACGCGGAGGTGTGGCCCGGCCTCGTACACACCCCTGCCCTGCTCTCCGCAGGTGACCTTGGAGTGTCCTGGCCACGAGGAGGTGCCCCGGGTGGACAAGCTGGTGGAGAAGATCTTGCATTGCAGCTGCCAGGCCTGTGGCAAGGAGCCCAGTCCCGAGGGGCTGAGCGTCTACGTGCAGGGCGAGGACGGGCCCGGCGCCCAGCCCGGTGGGCAGACCCCCGAGCCCGAGGAGCCCCCAGGCGCCCCCCACACCGAGGAGGAGGGGGCGGAGGACTGAGGCCCCCGACTCTCCCCCCTCCCCCCCCGGGACCCCCTGTGGAATGCTGGGTCTCACCCCCACCGCCCGGGGAAGAGTGAGGGGAGAGGCTGAAGCCCCCCTTTGGCACTGGATGGACTTGGATTCGGACTTGGACTTGGACTGCTGCCCGGTTGCCGTGGAGATCTGCAGGGGAGGGGCGGAGCCAGGCTGCACAATTTAATATATTCACGGGTGGGGGGAGGAAGCAAGGTCCTGTGGGGTCTTTCTTTGGGGGGGTCCTCTTGCTTTCTGCCTTCTAGAGGTGTGCTCCTGGGAGGGGGAGGGGGGGTCCCCAAGATGGAGCACAGGCTAAGGCCCAAGCTCTCGGTGGGGCAGGGTCCTGGGGGTGCAGATGGTGTAACGGGGGTGGGGTAGGGGCCCCTGAACGAGGGTGGGCACTGTGCCCGCATCTACCCTGACTTTGGAAGCTCCAGCCCCGCCCCCGGGTTCCCTGAGCCCTGTGGCTCCCTCCC